TACACTCATTCAACACAGCTGTCTTAAGTAAAAAGACACTACTTTCAATACTGCTACTGGAGAAAGATACCCCTTAACTTTTCAGAAATTGCAGATAAACATAATATGCATTATTTTTACAATTCCTTATGATTTTTAGAGTAAGTTTTAGGCTCTGGTGAAATTATCTGTGGTAAAAACTATTTTTTAAAAATTATGTAATCCAATTATGAGTCTTGATATAAGTCTTATGTAATATTGTAATTTGCTTACAACCATTCCTACATTGGGGTGAATAGACTTCATTATCTTCCCACTGGAAAAAACTAGGAGTGGAAGAAAGTGTTTGTCATGCAGTGTCAGAAGAAAATACTGTCCTAATTGTATAATATACTGTATTTGTTGGTGTTTTTTAATATATTAAAGGAACAGCTTTGCAGCAAGATAAGAAACAAAGTATTCAACTTACAAAAAAAGCAAAAAGAGTCTGGAGCTGTGAAGTGGCATGCCCCTGGTTACCATCCTCATATCTTTCCCTTAGTTATCAATACTGTGCTGCCTTTCTTAAAGAGAGAAACCTGACTTTTTCTTCTCTGTTTCTTCCATAACTCTCAATTCCTCTCAGGCCTTCTTTTCCCCAGTGTCCCAGCTGTGTTCCCCGAGAGGATGGGCCAGAACATCTGCACTCAGGTCAAACTCCAGCCTAGGCTTCTGGATTCATGGGTATCACAGGCTGCCATACCTACCTGTTTCTGATTTGGAAGGTTAAATTAATTTCTAAGTTGTTCCTCCTGAACCCATAAGAACTTTCTAGTTAAAGATTTGACTGTCTTCTTGAAAGCATTTTGATGTTTCTTTTGACACCAACCATAGTAAATATCTCAGTTAGAAAACAATTTTTTTTTGTTACTAGCATCCCATACATGTTGTTGTTTTGACTGATTTTGTTTCTATGGTTGCCATTTACTCCTTCATTCATTCACTTATTTATTTCACAGTTCTGGGAATTCAACCTCAGGCATCACACACTCCAGGGAAAGTCTCCAGCCCTGGAGAGTACGCAGTTCAAGGTACAGAAGGATTTGGGTTTCCCAACAACTCTAACCCTAGAAAATACAGGCTGAGGAACAAAAATTTTGTTTTTCTTCTTTAAACAGGAATCATAGAATTCTTTGATATCCATGTTCATATTTTTAAGAAATTTTCCAGTGACTAGGGTGGCTGAGATGGGAGAATATTATCGTGGGCAGCCTCATGAAACCCTGTCTCAAAATTAAACATTAAAGAGGCTGGGGCTGCAGGTATTGTTTAGCTGGGTTCACTTCTTAGCTTCATAAAAAATAAAATTATTTTTTGCTTTTTCTCTCTCTTTTATTTCCCTGTTAAATGCTGTATTTATTCCAAAAGAAAGAGGAACGACTTTCTTCTCTGTCCTTGATTTTCTGTTCCTTTCTCTCTTTTTTCTCCTCAGTTTTCTACTGTGTTGGATGATCATAGGCTTATGCTTCTGCACTCACATGACCCCCAACCTCAGTTTCTGGAAAAGCTGGTGCACAGGCTGAAGTTGCTGGCACCACAGGCTACCACACAGACATTTCTTCTGGCACCAACTTCAGTTAAATTCTCCACTATCAAAAAATTTTGTAGGTTAATCCCATCCCATATTTTTTGCCTTATATTGTTTTCTGGTTGTTATTCATACATCTACTAATTTATACTGCAGTCCTGAAAATCTATTCCTAGGCATAACAAATCCCAGGGAATGGCTCTATCACTGAGCTCCATCCTCAGCCACTGGAGTTTTGCACCTCAAGGTAGAGGAGACTCCATGTTACCCAACAATGTAAAGGTTCCAGGGTGAAAATCAGCATGAGAGATCCTCAACTTTTCCTTCATGATATCTTCCATGACTTTCCGTTCTTCTCAGCTTTTCCTTTTCTCCTCAAAGTCCTGGCTGTGTTCCTCTGAGCTAGTCTTCTATACCTGCATTCATGCACTCTCCTAGTTCAAGCTTCTGGAATTGCTGATACCACAAGCTCCTCCTCATGCCTGAATCTGATTATTAACAGATTATCTTCTAATTTTTACTTTGATATTTCTTTTGATACCAACCACAGTTAACTTCTCTGCTAGAAAAAAAATATTGCAGGCTACAAGCATCCCATGAAAGTTTTTTTTTTTTTTTTTTTTGCCTTATTTTTTTTTTTTTTTTTTTTTTTTTTTTTTTTTGGTTGCCAGTCATTTACTCATTTATATTGCACCTTGGGAATCCAATCCCAGGCATGACACTTTCCAAAGATAGTCATTAACCCTGAGTTCTCTTCCAATTCCTGGGAAGTTAGCGTTTTAAGTTAATAGTACTCAATGTTTCCCTACAGAGATAAGCTGATGATAGACAACCAGATGCATACTGAATTTGTTTATTTAACTTAAAGATGAAACAGATTTTTTTTGATTCCCACATTAGTAATTAAAGAATTGGCCCAGTGACTAGAGAGGCTGAGGCTGGAGAATACGTAGATGGCATGTTCAAAGTGATCCAGGGAAGCAATGCCAGAACCCATCTCAAAATAAAACAAAACAGGGCTGGGGATATGGCTCAAGCAGTAGCGTGCATGCCTGGCAAGCGTGTGGCCCGGGTTCGATCCTCAGCACCACATACCAACAAAGATGTTGTGTCCGCCGAGATCTAAAAAATAAATGTTAAAAAAAAAAAGAATTCTCTCTCTCTCTCTCTCTCTCTCTCTCTCTCTCTCTCTCTCTCTCTTAAAAAAGAAACAAAACAGGCAAGGACTCTGAAGTATCATGCATTTATGTTCAATCATCAGACATGAAATAAATCATTTCATTCTTTTTTTTCCTAATTTCTCTCCTTTGTGCTGCTTTTATTTTCTGGAGAAACTCAACTTTTCTCTGTTCCTTCTATGACTTTCTATTCCTCTCCTCATGGTCCTGACTGTTCACTCAGTGCTGCCTGGTATACCTATACTTGTGTGAACCTACAGCCTCTTCTTCTGGAATCACTGTAACATAGGCTACCACAATTATCCATGTTTATTTTTGGAAGGTCAGAATTTATCTTCAAAGATTTAACTTGTGTCCACTTGAGTACTTTGTGATATTTCTTATGATATCAAAATGTTAAAATCTCCATTAGAAAAAAAAGTTCATATGTTACTAGCATACTGTAAATATATTTTTTTTTGGCCTGACTTTATTTTTGGTTGCTGTTCATTCACTCACACATTTACATTACATTTCTCAGAATCATGTCCTAGGCAACACACATGCCAGGTAATGTTCTAATACTGAGCTCCATTCCCAGCCCTGGAGGTGAGCCAAGGAAAGACAGCATGAGGCACACAGAATTTATCTTGCTTAAAGAGGGAGCCTAGATTCCTTTGCTACCCATGTATTATATAAAATAAACTCTGCTCAGTGACAGGGATGTTAAGGTTGGAGAATGGGAGCATGCTATGTGCATTGTGATTTGGGGCAACCTTGTGAACATTTCATGAAAATATTCCAGGAAAAAAGGCAACACAAAAAGCTCTACTTTTCCTTCTCTGTTTTTTTTCCATGAATTTTCAATCCTCTGTCGATTTTTATCCATGGAGTCCCTGTTGTGTCCCCCAAGCTAGCCTCCTACACATATACTCTGGAGGTCCTCAGCAACAGCTCCTGCAACCAGTAGAACAACATGCTATTATACAATTTAATTTCTAATTGTGAAAGGTCTGATTTTCTTCTAAATTGTTTTTCTTGACCATAAATGATATTTCTTTTCAAAATTTGATTTCTGTCATCTTTTTTAAAATATTTTTATTTTATTTTTATGTGGTGCTGAGGATCGAACATAGAGCCTCACACATGCTAGGCACTGAGCCACATTTGCTGTAGTGCCTCACAGCAGCCAGAAAACTATTTAGTACTATCAATTCACCATAAAGCATACCTTTCAAACATATTTTAAATAATATATTTAAGCAAGCATATGACCACACACACAGGGAAAGGTAAGTGGTAAAGGGCCTGTAGCTTTTATGCCCTCCCCAGGCAGCATCCTGCCAGCACCTTCAGCAACAAGGAGTCCTAAAACTCTATCTTTTTCTTTTTTGGATGCTTCATTAAGTACCCATGATTCATTAAATAATTGATTGTTTGTTACCAGTTTAGCCTTCAGTTCCTCTGTTCTCCTTATATATGTGGGAAGGCTCAAGTTCAAACCCTGTAATGATAGTTTTTTTTTTTTTTTTCCCACTGAACATGGCCATCCTGTGTAGCCCAGGAGCCCTAGACCATCAATCACCTCACTGGCATCAGACAGACACATTGCTTCATAGATTGAAGAATGAGGAGCTAAGAGACAGGAAATTGAAGCAGAGACCAAGAATGTATTTCTTGGCACAACAAGCCACAAAGGAGCTTCAAATTGACAAAGAACTTGAATATACACTTTTTACTAGTAAACATGAAAGATGATTAACAGGATATTGTAGTAGTGTCATTATAGACATGCAAGATAAACTGCAGTGAAATTTCCTCACTTTTACTAATAAAGCCATAATAAAAATATTTAAAAATAACAAGTGATTTGGGGCAACCTTGTGAATATTTCATAAAAATATTACAAGAAAAAAGGCAATCCAAAAGGTAAGCTCTACTTTTCCTTCTCTGTTTCTTCCATGAATTTTCAATCCTCTGTCTATTTTTATCCATGGAGTTCCTGTTGTGTCCCTCAAGCTAGCCTCCTACACATATACTCCAGAGGTCCTCAGCAAAAGCTCCTGCAACCACTGGGGCAACATGCTATTGTACAATTTAATTTCTAATTGCAGAAGGTCTGATTTTCTTCTAAGATGAGCTCTACTTTTCCTACTGATTTTCTTCCAAGATAAGCTCTACTTTTGGGTAAGGATGAAGAGAAATCAGCACTCTTTTATATACCTGTAACAATAAATAATGTGAAGCTTGTGTGTGGAATAGTTTGCTATTTCCTCAAAAAGTAAAAATAGAATTACCATACTACTCAACAACTCCATTTCTATGTATTTAACCCCAAAGAACTGAAAGGAGGTATTAAAAGAAAAGTACATGTGTATACTTTCCATCTGTTAAAGTCATGAGAATGAGGAACAGGCTCAAAAGGAGTTTTAGGAAAAGAATCCTATGTCTGAGTAAAAATGAGTGCTTTTTTTCCCCCAGTTGGGCAGGTAGTGAAAGTGAGGATTGATTGCCATGGAGAAGCTTGCTGATGTCCTGATTTGCAGGTTATGTGATGGTCACCTGAGAGTATCCATTCCTACATTGAGTAAAATACACTGCAGTGTTTTACAGGAGATACAAACATGGCATAGCAATGACTACTGGGGAATGTGAGTGAAAGGATACAGATCATTTTGCACCACCAATGTAGGGTTCCTGTAAGCTTAGCACTATGAGAAAGTCAACTGCTTATTAAAAACCACCATGTCAATAATATGCCAGAAAAACAGACATCAGAGTTTATTAGGGAAGTTGACACTTATAAATCCAGCTCAGCGAAATCTCAGAAATACCATTGCAAGAAAATCTTTCATTAGAAGCCACTGTGTGTGTGTGTGTGTGTGTGTGTGTGTGTGTATGTGTGTTACATTAGTATTAGAGGCTAAATTTTGGATGTTATATTAGTATAAGAAGGTCACTTAGCGATTATTATACTGATATAAAACCAATGTGTTCATAGTAGATTAGCATTAAAGACCACAGTCTGGATATCACTGTGAAGGCAGTAAGTGTCCATAGTAAGTAAATATATTACTATTAGAGGCCATCTATTTACACTGTAAGCATACTTTGGGAAACAATGTGAATATCACATTAGTATTAAAGGGCACAATGTATATACTGTAATAATATCAATGACAAAAGGTCATGTATGCTTGTAATCCCAGAAGCTCATAAGGCTGAGGCAGGAGGATGGCAAGTTCAAGGCCAGCCTCAGCAACTAAGTGAGGCCTTAAGCAACTTAGAGACACCCTGTCTCAAAATAAAAAATAAAAAGGGCTGGCATGTAGCTTAATGGTTAAGTGCCCCTGGATTCAATATCTATTACAGAAAAAAGAACAAAAGATCAACTATTATATTAGGACTATATGCCTCTGTGAGGACATTGTGTGTGTCATGAGTGGCAGAGGATTCAATGAGGATATTATCTGCATTACAGGCCTTAGTGAGGATATTATATAGGTCAGAGGTTTCAGTTTAGATATTATATTAGTGGTAGAGTCCTGAATAAAATATTATATTAGTGTAGCAGGTCTTGTTGAAGATAATATATTAGTATCACAGGTCTCAGTAATAACACTATATGTGCTAGAGATATCAGTGAGGATATTATATGTTTTGGAGGCTTCAGTGTGAATATTATGTGTGTCAAATACCTGACTGGGGATAATATCTGAGTATCTGAAGCCACTGTGAGAATATTATATTTGTCAGAGGCCCCAGTGAGATTATTATTGAGTATCAGAGGCCCCACTGTAGAATATGATAATTATTAAAGGTTAATTGAGGATATTTGTTAGAGTACTCATTGAGAATATTATATGAGTGTCAGAGGTCTGAGTGAGTATATTATATATGTCATAAGCTGCAGTGAGAATATAAACACACCTATATATAAATTATGTATTTATATAATGTATGCAAATATATATTTATGCAAATATATATATGTGTGTGTGTGTGTGTGTGTGTGTGTGTGTGTGTGTGTGTGTGTGTTCTGGGGATTGAACCAAGGAGTACTTTACCACTGAGATACATCCTCAGCTCTTTTTATATTTTTATTTTGAGACAGAGCTTCACCAAATTTTTGAGGCTGAATTCAAACTTGCAATCTTCCTGACTCGTGCTCCTGATTCATTGGGATTACAAGTCTATGCCAGTGTATTCAAGTTATTGAGAATATTATTGAGTGTCAAAGTCTTCAATAGGTCATTATGAGTTAGATGACTCAATGAGTATATTATATCACTCAGAGGACTCAATTAAGGTATTATTTTTGCCAGAGGCCTCAGTGAGATTATTATATGAATATCAGCGAACTCAATGAGGATAATATATGTTATGTCAAGATCATTGTATTGCCATGAGAAACTAATAAATAACATATGTGCTATAGTCTTAACTGATGATATTATATGAGTATCAGAGATTTCAGTGAGAATATTATGAATGTCAAGAGAACTTGGTGAGGTTATTATATATTTCAGAAGCCTAAATGAGACTATTATATGAATGTCAAAGGGTTTTGTGTGGATATATATGTCTTATCCACCTCATTAAGAATATTACATTTGGGGCTGGGGTTGTGGTTCAGCAGTAGAGCACTTGCCTAGCACGTGTGAGGCCCTGGGTTCAATCCTCAGCACCACATAAAAATACATAAAACATAAAGGTACAATACCTTTGTGTCCAACTATAACTAAAAAATAAAAAAAAAAATAAAGAATATTACATAAGTGTCAGATAACTCAGTGAGCATATTATCTGTATTAGAGTCATCACTGATCATATTACGTTTGTCAGAATCGCAGTGGTGATATTATATGAGTGTCAGAGGCCTCAGTGAGGCCAATATATATTTTAGTCCATTTAGTTAACATATTATATCTGTAATAGGATTCACTGAGGATATTATATGTCCCCTTATATGTGTCAGAGGACTAAGTGATGAGATAAATTTTAAAGATATCAGCATGGATATCATATGTGTCAAATAACTCAGTGTGAAAATATCAGAGGCATCAGTAAGAATATTATATGTGTAAAAAAAGAATATTATATGTGTGCCACAGGTCTTTTCAGAGCCTCAGTGAGTATATTGTATCTGGTAAAGGCTACAATGAAGATACTATATTAGTGTCACAGGACTCGGTGTGGATATTACATGAGATATAGAACTGAGAGAGGGTGTTATATGTGTTAGAGTACTCAGTGAGCACATTATATGTGTCAGAAACCTCAGTGAGAAGATTGTATTCTTTAGAGGTTTTAGTGTGGATAGTGTATTAAACAGAGGCCTCAGGGAGATCATTATATGGGATAGAGGCCTCATGTGAACATGATATTTGTTATAAACCTCAGTGAAGATATCATATGAGTGCCACAGGCATCAGAGAGGATATTATATAGGTAAGGGCCTTAAATTGCATATTATATGTCAGAGCACTGAGTGAGGACATTATAGATGACAGAGGCTTCATTACATGAGTGTCAGAGGAATCAGTGAAAATATTATATGAGTGTTACAGACCTCAATGAGTATATTCTGTAAAGTGCCTCAGTGAGGCATTACAACTTTTACATAGATGGAGCTTCACTGAGGACATTATATGAATATCAGAGAACTCAATTAGAATTTTATATAAATGTGAAAGCCCTGACTAAGAATATTATGTACATCAGAAGGTTCAGTCCTCACTGAAGCCCTTATTGTTTGTTAGAGACTTCAGTAAGCATAGTAAATGTGTTAGAGTCTACAGGAGGATATTATGTGTCAGAATCCAGAGCAAGGCTAATACCTGAGTGTGAGTAGTATATGTATTAGAGCCCTCAATCACACTGTTATATGACTATGAACGTCCTTTTATGAGAAAAATATCTGACTGCAAGAGGCCTTGTTGAAGGCATTTCATGTGTTTGAGATCTCAGTATGTTCAATCTATGGCTCAAAGGTCTCAGGAAAGAAATCCTATGTGCCAGAGGCCTCACAGAGGATAAAATAGGAATGCCAGGCTACTGAGCGAGAACATTAATTGTGTTACATTCCTCAGGGAATAAGGTATACTAATGTCACATACTTCAGTGAGGGTATTACTGTGTTGAAGGCCTTGGCATTTGTGCTGCTTGGGTGAAAGTCCCAAGTGGAGCTACTGTCTGTGTCAGAGACCTCAAGGAGACACTTAAAAGTGTCAGAGGACCTCAGGGATTTAGAGGCCTCAGGGAGTATATTATATATGTCAGAGTCTTCAGAAAGATATTACATGAGCCCAAAATCTCATTGAGGCTATTAACTGAGTCAGAGGACTCAACACTGGTACTTCATTGTTGTCAGAGGTCTCAGCAAAGGATAGATTGCTTTTTAGAGGGGTAGGAGAAAATATGTTTTCCTGAGGCCACTGTGAGGATACCATGAGTCAGAGGCTTCAGTGTGGGTAGAACGTATGAGAACCTGAGTGAAGATTTCATAAACCTCAGGGGGATTATGATGGAGTATCTCAGAACTCAGTAAATAAAATCTATTAGTGTCAGCAGCCACATGAGGAAATTTTATGCATTGAAATCTTCTATGAGTATATTATATGGGTTTCAGAACTCTCTGAGAAAATATCACGATTCTAAATGCTGTGAGTGAGGATATTTTAGAGCATCTTTAGGAAGTTGCTTACAGGTGTCTATATAATCAGTGAAATAAAATATGAATATCAGAGGCCGCAGTGTGTATAGGATGCAAATGTCAGAGGAGGACCCATTGTGAATATCCTATCAGGGATAAGACCACCAGGAGGGTTCTATTTGAGTAGTCACCATCA